TCTACAGTGTGTAAAAGCTCTTTATGATCCACTTAAGAGCTCCAGTGAGCTTTGCTTGGATATTTCCATCCATTTACCCATGTATTGGCATGAACACCAAAATGCCAAAATGTATTTACTGAGAGGAACTTGTTATCTTTTACTGATGCACACAAAATGATAGAAACTTACAATGCCAGAAGACACCACCAGAATAATTTCATTTCCATGTTTACGAGCTAAACCTAGAAGCATGGCTCTCTTCCCTCTCACGTGCTACACAGCTAATATATCCCAAGTATAATCTCAGCTCTTCAATTTACCAGCAGCTGTGGTCACTTCAGAGCAAAATAAATAATTTCAGAAGTGCCATACACAAAGTCAATGGGCTATTTAAAAAATGCTGCAAGTACAGAGGTAAGGACCTAGACACATATACAGAACTGAGCAATGAAAATACCTCCTCTGAATTAAGGTTACATCATAAAAGCTTAGATCTGTAGAGACATATTGATAACAAAGCTTAGCAAGAATATAGGGCATTGCATGAAATTACATCAACACTGGCATAGCAGATATCTATATTGGATTGGTGTTAACTGATTTTGAGGTTATACATAACAGACATAACCCTTCTACATATTCATTGTCAAAAAACATTATTCCTGCTCCAGACAAATACATCCAAAATGTTTTGCACAGCTCACTTTACTGAGTTTCAACAGGGAACAGAGTACCTTTACAGCAGAAATTATCAAAATGTCATTTTGCTTTCACCAAAGCTATTTGCCTTTAGTTTTCATCAAAAAAGGGAGATTGTTTATTGCACATTTTGCATCACCTGAAAAACCTTGCAAATTACATCCAGAGAGCTTGTTTCATGCATGTAATTATTTTCTTTATTCTGCAAGAAAAGGAAATAGTTTACAACATCCATAGTAAAAGGATAAGGTAGGAAAGGGTTCTTCTTGCCCTTCTTGAAGATAGGAGTGACATTTGCTTTCCTCCAGTACTTGGGCACTTCCCATAGTTGTTGTGATGTACCAAAGATTGTTGAAAGAGGCCTCACAGCTGCCAGCTCCCTCAGCACTGAATGGGTGCATCCCACCAGGGTCCATGGCCTTCATTATTTCCATTTTGCTTAAGTATTCCTCCTCCACCAATGCCAAATCCCTTCTAACCTCAGCCATGCCATGATTCTGTGTTCTCTCCAAAAAGCCAGAGAGGCTCTTTAAGTCATAAGAGCACTACATTCAGAGAAGGAAACAGATCATGATTGTGTAGTAAAGGCCATGGTAAAAGGAGATAAGGAAGCAGAGACAGTGATCAATATTACTGAAGATACAGTGGAGAATGCAAATACTGGAGAGGTTCTGCTTTTTATGAGATTGTTGAAGATGGCTGTTAGTCCTCCTGCAGGAGGAGGTTCAGTCTACTGTTCACAGTTTATAGCAATTTACTAGTACAGAACTCAAGATACAATCCTTTACTGAATGGAGAACTCTGTAGAGCCAGAGGGGACACTGCAAGCAGATGCAACTGCTCTGACAAAAGAAGCAGGTCAAGAAACTGATCAAGCAACATTGTTCAAGGACCACTTTTGGAGAAAAGAACGGGATGAAAAGTGAAAAATGTGAGGGATAAAGGAAATAAAAAACTCACCATGTGAAAAGCACAGTTGAGGAGTTGAGAAGTATAGTGAGAGAAAATGACCCCAAAAAAACTATCATAACTCAGTGACTGCTGCACAGGTGACTACAGCCTTTTGTGTAGCTGATAAGCAGTGAGACAGAGAGTGAGAAAAAGAAAAAAATCGATGAGGAGTCCAAGTGTAGAGATGGTCTATGAAGGAAAAGCGGTGAACACAATGAGACCTCCCAGTAAGAAAAAGCAAAAGAAGAAACACTGGAAACCATTGCAGTCTACAGCTTCCTCACGAGGGGAAGCAGAGGGCGGGCACTGATCTCTCCTCTCTGGTGACCAGTGACATGATCTGAGGGAATAGCATGAAGCTATGTCAGGGGAGGTTTAGATTGGATATTAGGAAAAGGTTCTTCGCCCAGAGGGTGGTTAGGCACTGGAACAGCCTCCACAGGGAAGTGGGCACTGCACCAAGCCTGTGAGAGTTCAAGAAATTTTTAGACAATAGCTGGCAAGCAGGTTTCGAGGCACTGCTGGAGAATATTTTGTTATTGCATGGCAGTTCACAGGAAGAATAGCTCTGGGTAACCAAGAACACACAGCTTCCCAGAGGAAACAAAGATGGAATGGATGAATTTTGGTGCAGTAACTGTAAAATGGCATCATGTTCAGCACATAAAGCAGGAGGAGGGAGGAGGACATGCAGTGATGGTGTTTGTCTTCCCAAGTAACCATTACGCATGATGGAGTCCTGCTTTCCTGGGAATGGCTGAACACCTACCTGGCCATGGGAAGCAGTGAACGACTTCCTTGTTCTGTTTTCCTCATGTGCACAGCTTTTGCTTTGCCTATTAAACTGTCTTTACCTGTACCCAGGAGTTTTCCAACTTCTATTCTTGCAATTCTCTCCCCCTTGCCCCTGACAGAGGAATGGGACGACAGCTGCGTGGCATTTGGTTGCTGCCTGTGGTTAAACCACAACACTGCCCCATCCGCTGCCGCTGGCACTTGCCCACAGTGCCAGATCCCTCTTTGCTTCCCAAGTCTGCCATGCCTCTGGAAGCTGGTGAACCTGGACAGCTGCTGCACTGGTGCTCCTCAAAAACACCTCTGTGGGAGCCTCATCCCATAGATGCAGGAAGGAGCTGTAGTTGTTGTCCCTTCAGAGCAGTGTACAAGGGCTGCAGAAGACAACCTTCTCACTGCTCCAAGAAGACCAGGATCCATCACCACATGGAATGTGCGGTGCCATCAACTGTTCTCTTCAGTGAGAAAGAGAGGAAAGGGAGTGGGAAGAGAAAGTGGAAAAGAGAGAGAGGAAAGGAAGAAGGGAAGGAGGGAGAGAGGGGGGGAGGAATCATTCCATAAGCCAGATACTTCCTGACTTTGAGAGTCAGCCAAGGGCTCAGCTAAGAAGTGTCTTCTGTGAAGCACATTTCTGCATGCAGGTGTAGCTCTTCAGGGAGCATCAAGGCCACTTTTTCTTTTGTCAGAGCTAATCTGCTCCGAGTGCTGTGACCAGCCACAGTGCTCTGGTTATCCCTACAAAGTGGTGTTTGGATTCAGAGAAGCTAGGCTCTGAAGCCCCAGTTCCCTGTACCCTGGAAGGGCCATTGTCCTTTCAGTGACTTGGCCTGTCATGACTGGCTAGAGGAGGAGCTGTCCCTACTGTTCTCTTGGACACAGAGAAAGGCATTGCAGAGAGCAGCATGTTCATTCTGTCTGCACACACCATCAGCCTTTATTTGTCACGTTCTCCTATGTAAATGCACTGCTCCCTTTTCATTCAGCACCTCTTCATTTGTTGTGGTTGCAGCAAGATTTACTGCGGGAGAAGGTACTGCTGACAGGACCCTGGGGGTCTGCAGAGCCTTGGACTGTGGAGGGTCATGAGGTCAGGGACAGGACCCAGGATAAGGGGGAGAAGGTAGCACCAGCAACTCTTTCAGGGAAATAGCAATTTATTTCCTTTCTCTTGAATAAATACTTGCTGGAGCCCTGCTAGTGCTGCTGCCGGAGCGGCTCCTTACACAGCTGTGGGAGTCCTGGTGGGCAGGAGCCCTTCTTTTCCGGGGGTGTTGGGATCCCCCATGTGAGCAGACCCTGCCTTGGCTGGAAGTGGAGGCTCTGCAGTTGCTGCCCTGGGCAGAAGAACCTGCTGCCTCTACCTCCCCCAGCTCCTCCTGCAGCTGCACTTGCTCTGCAGACAAGGACACAGAGAGGGGACAGCCAGTATCCCTGCAGGAGGTGGCTTGTGAGGTGCTGGGTTGGTTCTCTGTATCAGAGCCAGCAAGGCTGCTCGCAGGGGCCATAGAGGAGGCAGGACTTTCCCCCCAGAAGCTACTGGAGCTGGCTGCAGGGCTATTGGTCTCCCTGCCAGCATGGAATCTCAGTAGTCTCTGGGCCTCTGTGCTGCACCTGTACATGATGACATTGATAAGGCCATAGACCAGCGGTGCTGTATATCCCTCAAGGACAGGCTGCAGCATCTGGAACAAGACCTTCCCATCCAGACCACAGAGGCACAGGACCTGCAGGATGCAGCCTTCTGCATTCTTTGCCAGCCACCATTGGGATCCATATATCGCTTCCAGTCTTTGACATAGCCAGGGCAGCACAGGGTCCAGAAGATGCTTTTGTCCTTGGAAAAGTTCTGCCCAGACCTCAGGCAGGAGGCCACCCACAGCCTCTGGCCATCCAGCTCTCTGCTGAGCTGGGGACAGTGTCCCATGTGGAAAAGATGGTGGGAATGGAGCAGGGCCATGGGGACTGTTTTCAGCCATGTGGCTGGGAGCTGTTCCTGCCTGGCTGCAGACCTCTGGCAGCTCTCTGGAGGGAGTGAGAAGACACTGTAGATAGTCATCTTCTTCACGTACAGAAAACCTGACAATCAATATCGTTCTGCTGCAGACTGGGCACACTGGTTTCCTGTCTGTCCAATGCATGATGCAGCCCAGGCAGAACTGGTGGCCACAGGGCATTGCATAAGCAGCATCCTCGTGACCATCATGGCAGATGGGGCAGCTCCACTCTGTCTCTGTGGGCCTGTCTGTACTCCATGAAGAGTGCTGGGGCCTGGAGGCCCTCCCTTCTGGGAGGTGCTGGGGCCTGCTGGGTGAGTGTTCCCAGCCCTGACAAGGAGTAGCAGGATTGCAGCTGCTCTTGTGGGAAGAGGAACTTGCCACCACTGCCTCCTCCTGCTCCTCCTGGGGCTGCACCTGCTCTGTAGGGATGGGCACAGATGGGTGGATGATTCGGAGGGCACAGAGGGCAGCTTCTGTTGTGCTGGATTGGTCCTCCATGTCGGAGCCTGCAGGGCTGCTGGCAGGGCTTGGGGGCCAAGTGGAAGTGCCTCCTTGGGAGCTGGTGGAGCAGGAGCTGGCCTCAGGGCTGTTGTCCTCCTCCCCAGCAGCATGGGAGTGCAGCAGCCTCTGGGCCTCCTCGCTGCACTGACCCACAATGATGCTGATGATGCCATCAACCAGCTGTTCTGTACATTGCTCAAGGAGAGGCTGCAGCATCTGGAGCATGACCTCCTTGTCTGGACCCCAGAGGCACAGGATGTACAAGATGCTCTTCTCTGCTCTCACTGCCAGCCACCATCGGGACCCAAATATTGCCTCCAGCCTCTGGCGCAGCCAGGGCAGCACAGGGTCAAGGAGATGCTCCTTTTTTTTGAAGAGTTGTGCCCAGACCTTGGGCAGGAGGCCAGCCACGGCCCCAGTCCCTGCAGCCCCTTGCTCAGCTGGGGAGAGTGTCCACTGTGGAGAAGAGGGAGGGGACCCTGCAGGGCGATGGCAGCTGTTTCCATCCAGGAGGCCAAGAGCTCCTTCTGCTTGGCTGCTGCCCTCTGGTGATTCTTCAGGGAGTGTGATGACACACTCCAGATACTTCTGTTCCTGCAGAGAAAACCTGACAGACTCTATCAGTCTTCTGCACAGTGGGCACTCTGGTTTCTTCTCGGCCCAACGCAGGATGCAGCCCATGCAGAATTTGTGGCCACAGGGTATCACATAAGAGACACCCTCTTGCTCATCATGGCAGATGGGGCAGCTCCACTCTGTCCCCATGGCCCTGTCTGTTCTCCTTGGCAACTCAAGGAGTCCTGAGAAGCTGCTCCCCATCACTGACACTACCAAAGGCTTTCACACACTGCAATGAAATGGTGAAAACATGGTCCCTTGCTGTCCTGGGGAGCCCCTGCAGGGCTGGAGGAACAGTGGCAATGGCTCTGCAACTGGCACCGGGAGCTGATGATGTCAGGCCCCAACACACCCCCTGGCACCAGGAGAAGCCTCTCTCAGCCCTGCAGATTTCACAGACATGCTTGGCAGAAGTTCAGATGCAGGTAGATTGAATCAGGTTCTGCCTGTACCCAAAGCAGTGATAGATGTGAAGTCACAATCTACTCCTGGTGACATCACAGTCCACTGCCAAGTGACAGTACCTGGTGATATCACAGTGGGACACCCAGCGCTGGGGCACTCACACCAACACAGCATGTCAGAGGCCACCTTCCGTGTGTGTCCTGGCTGACCTTCAAACATACTCCAAAACCCATCCAAAAAATTAATTGTTTTTTCCTCTTTTTTTTCCCTGTTATTAGTACATAACCTCTTTCGGTGACCCTTTTAAAATATTTTTCTTGCTTAATGAGAGAATGCCACAAGGGCAAGCACGTATTAATATTAAAGAACCGATTAAAAAAAAATCAAAATCATATTCATCATATTATCTATCATCTTTTTCCCTTTCTGGCAGTTGCACCAGGACTGAGCAGTAACTGAGGGAGAGGTAAATGTGGCAGTGGGAGATCACAACCACCGACTCAGCTGAAAATCTTTCCAACTCTTTTGTGCAGAAATTCTCTCCAGGCTTCAGCCCAAGTTTTCTGAATTCTTCAAAATTCACTAAATTGTCTGCTTTGGGCAATTTAGTTTGTATTTTTTTCTATCCAAATTCTGGCAATTACCACATTGTGGTGCTTCTGGCCCCTCTGCAATCTCCAGGAGAGACTAAGACAACAGCAGGAGCAGCCACAGTGGGTGGTGAGGGTAGTATATGCCCAGGGAAGCGAACAACTGAGGCACTTTGATGAACTACGGCAAGTAAAGCAGCATCAGGAATTCCAAGAGTTGGAAACTCACTGGCTGTTTTTCTTATATTAATTGTCCCATTATAGTTCGTCTTTCAGGGTGAATCTCTGGCTATTGTTGTGGTTTCACTGGTTAGAAAAATACTCTGTTTGTGACAGTTACAGGTTTTTTAGCTTATTTTAAAAGTAACTTGCTGTGTGTTTGTTCATATTTTGTTTTGTGCATGTTTGGAATACAGGTCTTCTGGTTATATGTGTATTATAGCTCAAAAGACACTTAGGGACAGCAAGAGAAGTTGAAGGAAGAACACTTACACAGAGCAAAGGTCTGAGACTTTAAAGACTTGCTTTTCATAAAAGACAGTGACTACTGGGTTGGAACAGGAAGGACTGATTGATTTATTTGCATTTACATGGCGCCCCTGGAGTGAGGTTGTATTTTCTGATGCTGTCCTGAGCACCTGCCGCGTTGTTGTGGAAAGGCACTATGTTATTTAAGCGTTTTGTTTCTCTCGCGTCTTTTTCTCCCCAGGTATTGAACCTAAAACTGAGTGAGGCAGAGCAGCAGAGGCAACGCCAGGAGGAGCTGGAGCATTTGCATAAGGAAGAGGGTCAGGAAAGATTGTGTCGCCTTTTTCCAATCCAGGAAGAACTGCTGCAGTTTAAGAAGCAGATTGATCTCAATTATAGACACAAAGACTTGCTGAGAACAGATCTTTCTGCGTGTGGTAATCGAGGCAACCAAACCTATGGACTGGCGTCAGGACTCATTCCCACCATGAGTGAGTTGGAGGCTCTAGAGTTGTTCTTAACTTTGGTTGTCATTCCTTCATAAAGCTTCCAGTAGTTTTTTTCAAAGGCAGCTTGTTATGAGGCTGTTAAATAAGATGTCACAGAAACATTTTTAGATATTCATCCTATAAAACAGCTAATTTAAAAGAAGAACTTTTTTTCTATGGCACTTCAGCTGTTCTCTTGAAAATGGTTTATAAAAATGTATGAGGATTTCTACAGGATAAAGATTCAAATTAAAATACTGTAAACTCTTGATGCTGTAAAGTTCCTTTTTGAGACAGCCATGGAAACAGGGTGGTTCATAAATTGTTAAATACTGAACATCTTATGATTCTCCCATACCCATAAGCTTTTTTACAGTAAATAGGTTTCCTTGAAATTTTTTTCCCCTATGTAAAGTAGGGGAGACAAGTCTTTAAAAATAAAACCCTATGATAAAGATAATTCTCTGTTCCAGCTTATCACAGCTGTCTTTCTGCAGAGGATGCAGTCTAGGCGTGTTATTAAGTTCTGGTTTTCAAGATCTTATAAGATTTAGTAACAGACTAACATTATTTACAAATAAGACCAATGTTTTGTACAAATAAAGGAGATGGAGATATTTTCACCAAAGAGGACAAAATGTTCAGTTGGCTCCCAGATTTTCTGAAGATTAATGCTTCAAAGACTCCTTTCTCTTGCTCTTGGGCCACAAACAGTGGAATAAAAGATTAATGGTATGTTACACCCCATATTTCTTCATAGAGAGGTTTCCCTACTCAAGTAGATGTGCCAATACTGTACGAGCACTGTAGAGAATGTGAAGGTTGGTGTCCTGAATGCAGCAAGAAATGATGTGGATCTTTGTTTCCTTCAGCATTGCTGAAGAGTATTCTAAAATTGAAAATGTACAAAATATACCAGTAGACAATGAGAAAGGGTATATAGAATTGTTACAGTGACAATTAAATGCTGTTTATTTCTTTCATGAATAATGAATCAATGAGAAACAGAATGCCATTTTAAGTCAGGGAAAATATTAAGTTGGCCCAAAGCAGTTTATTTACATTTGGCTTTTTTATCCGAATACTCACCAAAGAGTCAGTTACTTCGTTTGTACCAAGTTTCTCATGCTTTATTTTTTTTTTACTTCTCCTACTTTTAATCACCGAGCTTGCAAACCTATTATGTTCAGGAAAACAACTCCCATCAAATTAAAGGCATGTTTGCTCTCTCATTTTTCCAGGGGAAGCCAGTTGCTCACACCTACTGTTTGAGCATGTTTCCTGGTCAGCCAGACCCACTTTGAGGGCAGTGATGGTTAAAAAAAATAATTATAATTAAAAATACCTTCTGGTTACAGCCTCTACCTTCAGTTTTCCTGAGTATTGTATAGTTATATAGTTATATTTGGATAGCTCCCAAATATTTTGGGGAAAACCCTGGAGTTGGTGGCTACAGTAAGTAGCTTTTATTTAGATGGGGATTTGAGCAACCTGGTCTAGTGGAAGGTGTCTCTGCCCAGGCAGGGGTATTGGAGCTAGATGAGCTAATTTAAGGTCCTTTCCAGCCCAAACCATTCCATAATTCTGGAGTCTCAGTGGCTGTGGCAAAACGTGGTAATTCAAGTAGAACTTCAGAGCTTGGACTTTGTGCTGAATAGGGGCCACATGCAGAGAGTAAGACTGGTTGCCTGCAGTAATTAGGCACAATTAATAGAGTTTGCTCAGAAGGCATTTTGCACATACAGAATGGTTAGCAGCAATGACTAATTTTGGATATAAACCTAGAATTAAAAAACAAACAAACAAAAAAAACCCGCAGTGCACTTAAACCAACACCGTAGAAGACTTTGTAAGATGTGAAAAACCTGATTTTCTTGTTTTGTTGAAAAAATAGAGTGTAATTGTTAAAGAGCAGAAAGCCAGCTTTGATTTGATAGTGGAAATATCACAGGACTCAAGCAAACTGCTGTGTAAAGTCAGGGCTTTTTTTAAAAAAAAGTGTTAATTGTATGAATTAATCATGGTTTACAGACAGAAAACTGTGAAAGCTTTGCTTAAATGAGGTCTTATCAGTGGTATGTTTCTGCAGCAGCCTGCTTTTCTTTTGAAGTAAACTACTATCTGGGCATATTAAGTGATACATTTAAAAAAAATAATTTAATTGCATTTAATTAGCTAACAATGGTCACATGATGAGTAACTGCATTTTCTCTAGTGAATTCATAAAGTCAGTAAATGCTAATTTGTTACTTGTCACCACACAATTCCCTTTTCATATAGAGATTTTTGACCTTGGAGTTTCAGGGGCACCAATGGAATTGCTTTTGGTCCCTCTGGGTGTCTCTGTGTTCAGCAGTGGTGCTCAGTCCGCCTGTAGCACAGCAGCAGGGGCAAAAGCCTCTCAGCTCTTCACGTGAGACAAGCTGCCATCAATCCTCAGCCCTCTCTTTTTATGTGGGAGAAAAAAACTGCTTTCAGAGTGAGAGCTGAGGGAAGGATGCTTCCAAACTTTGGAACGGTTGGGATTTTGCTGGTTTCCTAAGCCTGCCTTCCTGGAGCCTGCCCACCACCTGAGCTATTTGGTCTCTGCCTCACAGCTCCCAATTCTGAAGGGACTCTCCCATTTTGGCCCACTGATTTCCTCCTAGCACCACCTTCCAAGTTGTCCCACAAGCCCTTGGAAGTTTCTTTTCATTCTTTCTCTACATCAATACTAGGCAGTTCTCTGTGGCTCACAGATACGCCCAGGGAAGCTGCCAGAGGTGTGTCACAGGCCCGAGAGGCTTCTTGGACATGCCAGAGCATTGCAGCAGCAGGCTGATATGTGTGCAGCTGGTTTGTTGCTTGGCTTTGCTCACTTTTTTTTTAACAATTCTAAACTTTGGAGGCCCACGTCCCACCTTGTTTTGTGGTGAACTTGTGAGGAAGAAGCTATATGAATTTATTTCCTGAGACTCGGTTTGCAGCAAGGCTGAGGTATGGTTTTCTATTCTGTAAGCCCTACAACCTGCTGGTTGATAGCCATGCAGTAAATAGGAAAAATGAAAGGCTTTCAAATATAGGCAACTACACTGCATATTGAACGCAATTATTCATCAATATAATCTAAATATATTGATATATAACTTCACTCCTGTGCTGTTTTCCAAGTCCCCGGTGTCACAACAACTCCAAAGGGGGCATGATGTTCATTATAAATTCTTGTCAGGCTGAATAAAGCACCACACCACGTGTCTGTGAACGCCTATGCTCATCTGAGTTTGACAGCGTGAGAAAAAGAGTCAGGGAGACTTATCCACTTCCTTTCATAGTTTACCCGGTGCACATCTTATACAAAAGAGATTTTTCAAGCTGTTCATGCCATACTGTTTGGACTTTTGCAGTCAGCCCTTTTGAGCCCTCCAAGAAGTGAGTAGGGGATGCGAGTTGATGCAGGCACACTGAGTACAATTCTCAAGGCAGAAAAGGAAGTTGGCTCAGCAC